TTCAGGGAATGGTCCATAGTGTCGTATAGATGATGGCCTGTGGATTCCTACAGAGAGCAAAGACAGTTTCCATTGAAGAATTGTTTCTCGATGGCACTACGTTGAGCAAGACTGTTGGAAATGTCAGCTGGGGACATCGGAGAAAGCAGTGAAGGGCACTTCACCACTACGCCTTTCCCAAGTTGTCGTCCTTATGCTGCTGTTAGTCACTTCCAGTTCCTATACTTGGGGTGTGTGTGTGTGTGTGTGTGTGTGTGTGTGCGTGTGGGAGTGACCGCCTATGTGTGTCTGCTGGAACTCTAGAGAAGGAAAAAGGGTCTCGTCTGTTCTTCTTTCGCCGTAATTAATCACCAGAGGATCACATGGTTGTTTCAGCCCAAGATTAATTTTCATATAAATAAAATAAATCTCCTTCAGCACAACTTCTTCGCTGCGAGTCACACATGAAAGCGCAGCTAAACGTGGCCTCAGCACTGCTGCCAGTGGTGCCAAACTCCCACTCTGCCTACAGCACTGCTTACTGTGCATCTGTCTGGATGGATTCTCAGAGGTGGTACAAGCCAGCCGCTCTCCCTGCAGCTGAGCCAAAGCTGGGGAAGGAAAAAAAACGAGGGTCAGGAACTGAAGGAGTCCTTTGTGACCTGCTAATATAAGAAACAGACACTGGTGGAATTTCAAAGCTATGAACCAGAAACCATGTCCGACTGAGTGAAAAGCATATTAGTTTGTGGCACTTATTGCATTTGTTTGATTCTGCACTGTACGTTGGCTATGGTTCATGCTCTTAGATGCTTGTTTGAAGACAAGAGATGCACTTATGACTTCTGGTGACTAGTTGTTCTCTCGGAAACCGATGTTGAATACACTTGTCACATTGTAAGTTGCTTTGGATAAAAGCGTCTGCTAAATGACTGTAATGTAATATGCAGGGACTTGAAATATTTACGCTCCACCAGCAGCAATTACACATGTACATATTTATCAGCATGTTTACATGCACGACACTCTACATCCAGAGTCATTAAGAGCTGGCCATCATGTTTTGGAGCCCGTTTTGTACCTAGCAGTAGGACACCGATATACAGTCCTCCTAAATGTATGGCATCTCATTTGCATTTATGCAGACCTAAACTCTAGGCATATATCTCCTAAAATCTGTATGTGGTCTGCAGCACATAATGTATCCATTTATTATTGTTGGGCCATAAATCAGTTTATTGTTCAGGCAGTGGGGAAAAATACACTTTGCAAGTGCCCAAAGACTAAGACGTCTTCTGCGTGACAGTTAAATATCCAAAGTTGATGCATTTTTACAATGATGAAGAAACTAAGAAATCCTACAAATATTATGAAATATAAAATCCATAATGGAAATCATTTTCAATTAATCTTAAATAATTCAGTAATTGAATTAATCGTCATCTTTTGTGTCTTCACACTAAATCACAATGGATTTCCAGATTTTCCTCACTGATGATATACAGTTTGTTCTTAAAATAGCAGTGCATATTTCCTTTTTTGTTTTTGATGAACTCTGTTTGTCCTGATTATGTACAGTATGACTGGACTGTGAGGTTCTTGGTTGGTTTAAGATCTATCTTGCTGTGGCCATTCTGAGTTTAATTAGTTTGGATTTAGAGCATAGTTAAAAGTAGGAAATTGAATGAAAGCAATTTTATTTTCCAGCCCTGAACACACTTGCATATACACCAGCCCTCCCCCCACACACACACACACACACACACACACACACACACACCACCTTTCCCAGCAGTCGGTGAAGGGAGGCCCCCCTGCGGTGCCAGTGTACAGCCATGCACGACTCAACACTTATTATCATGATTGGCCGCAAAAGGTGGCGGGACGCTGAGTCCATTCACGCTGCCAGACGCCTTCATAAAGCGAACACCAATGGTTCCCAGTTGGCCCTCATCAGCGGTAGCGAGCAGCGGAGCACCTCAGGACTTCTGCTCTCTGGAGTAGTAACAATAGTTTTCCTGCCGATATCGGGAGAAAAGAGAGCAGGGGAGGGGAAACGAACAAGATGGCTGCCAAGCATAAGGAATCTGTTGAATGCCTCATAGGGAGGTCATCCAAGAAGTAATGAGGTGAAACGCTGCAGTACAGCGGTAGCTGTCAATCAGTTTGGACATTGTTGCGTTATAATGAGTGGCCGTTGTGAGTAGTAAGCACCTACTTAACTACAGTAGGCAGCATTGTTGACTGTACGTCACCTCCCTCTCTCTCTCTCTCTCTCTCTCTCTCTCTCTCTCTCTCTCT